AGTATAAGCCTTATGTACTTATTCTATAGGAAACTAAACTTCCCAGTCCCAATTTATCTGGGGCTGGGGAGGTGTGGGGTCCTGGAGCCGTCGACTTTGTGGTGGGGCCTTTGGGGGAATGTGGATCCTACGGGATCCTTCGGTTTTGCTTTCTTTGACTTTGGTTAAAAAAGACAATTTTTTACTTGTGGATCCAGAGGCTGATTTTCAGTGCGGTTTGAAGAATGTTTACAGTCCCCATATTTCTGCTCAAAAGGAAAGTTTCTTTACCGATATGTCTGATGTTATTTCTCAGTTTGATTATCCTATATGCATTGGGGGGGATTTTAATTTCACTAGGTGGCTAGAAGAGAGTTCTCATGATGGGGAATTACTGCTTCTATGCGCCTTTTTAACCGTTTTATAGAGTCTCATGCTTTGATTGATCTGCCCATTTTTGGCACGACTTTTACTTTGACTAATGGAAGTATCTCTAACTTGTCAATGTCCAAGATTGACAGGTTTATATTGTCTGGAGAGTGGTTTGAATTGTTTCCCTTAGCATCTGTCAAAGCTCTCCCTAGACTTTCTTCTGATCATATTCCTATGTTACTATCATCTAAAATTTGGTCGGGGGGTCCCAAACCTTCAGGATGGAAATAGGGTGGCAAAAGGAAAAGGAAGTGGTTGAGCTAATAAGTACTTGGGAGAATTCTATTTCATTTGGTTATTTAGACTTCCAAATATATAAGAAGCTCCTGAATATTAAACATAAGCTTATGGATTGGAAAATAGTTAAGTACTTTTCTGTCAAAAATAAGATTGACGTTGTTTTGAAATGTATAGAGGAGGCGCTGATGAAGCTATGCAACAGTCTGGGGTTTTATCTGAGGAGCTGGCTATAGCAAGAAGTGTCAAAGTGAATGAGCTTCAGGAGCTTCGGAAAGTGAATGTATTGAAAACAAAGATCTAGGGTTAAATGGTTGAATGAGGGAGATTTGAACACCACATTCCTTCACGCCATAACTAGTGCTCGAAGATGTCAAAATGATATTTCTGGTCTCTTAATTCAGGGAGTGGATTTTGATGATAGTGAAGATATGTCCCAAGCTATTTTCAGTCACTTCTAGAAAGCTTTCTCCTCAGAAGTCAAAGTCACTCCTAGGCTTAGTAGGGTGGGAATTAAAGTCCTTGCTTCCAATTTGATTCCTATCCTGGATAGGGATGTCTCTTTGGAAAAGTTAAAAAAAAAACTATCTTTGCTCTCTTGGACGATAAGGCCCTTGGTCCTGATGGCTTCCCTCTGATTTTTTTCCAAAAGTTTTGGAATTTGATAAGTGGTGAGCTCCTGGAAATGATTAGGGGATTCCTTAGGAGAGAACTTATTTTTAAAGGAGTGAACTCCACCTTCATTGCTCTGATCCTTAAAAAGTTAGTCATAGCCAATTTGGGAGACATCAGACCCATTAGCCTGTTGACGAGCCTCTACAAAATAGTGGCTAAGGTTTTGGTTGAACGCTTGAAAGTGGTTCTACCAGTCATTATTTCTGGTCTCCAATCTGCTGTCATCAAAGATAGGCTAATTTCTGACAGTGTTTTGATTGCACAAGAGTGTATCCATTCACAAATTCTTTGTGGAGGCCTTGGAATTGTTGTCAAACTAGACATGGAAAAAGCTTATGATAGGGTAGAGTGGAATATTCTAGTAGAGATAATGAAGAACCTGGGTCTTAGCGAAAATTGGAGACAATGGATCTTTGGATGCTTATCCTCAGCTCACTTCTCTAATTTGTATAAAGGAAGTCAGACTGAGTTCTTTAAGGCTACTCGGGGTCTTCGCCAAGGTGACCCTCTCTCTCATTTCCTCTTCAGTGTTTATGCTAAATGTTTTAGTTTAATGTTGTCTAATGTTGCAAGGAGTGAAAATTTTTCGGGTTTTCAGCTGCCTAGTAGAGGACCTTGTATTTCCCACTTGCAATATGCTGATGACACACCGTTATTCTATGAAGCTCAAATCACTCAGGTTAGCAATATTGCAACTTTCTTAAGTTGTTGTGAAGTTTCCTTAGGACTTAAGGTTAACTTTTTGGAAAACTACAGTTGTTTGCTTGAATTATAGTGATGAAGTGATAAGTTTAATGGCACAGGTTCTAGGGCGCAAGGCAGAGAGGTTTCTAATCATGTATTTGAGAATGCCAATCTCGGATGGCCGACTACGAATTGTGGTTTGGGACAAAATTCTTTAGTGAATCCAAGTGAAGCTTGACCTATGGAAATTTAAGTATCTCTCATTTGGGGGTAGGATTACTCTGATTAAGACATGCTTGTCGAACTTACATATATATCAGATGTCAATCCTACAGATCCCTTTTTCGGTGGCTAGGAGAATTGAATTGATGATGAGGAACTTTCTATGGGGGTCCTCCTTGGAGACGAAGAAATTTCATCTTCTTCGATGGGATAGAGTGCGTACTCCCAAAAAGGAGGGCAGTCTTCGGATTAGGAAAATTATTGTTGTTAACCAAGCCTTGCTCTGTAAATGGTGGTGGAGGAGTTTAACTTCTAAAGATCATCTATAGTACAAAGTTATCGCTTCGAAGTATGGAGAGGACAGATTTGGTATGTGGGTGGGTAAAAGAAATGGGGTTAGGGGAATGTCTTCATGCTGGAGATCGACTTATAATTGCAAAGCCTTGATTCATAAAGACATTTGTTGGACCTTAAGCAATGGCACCAATATTTCATTTTGGCATCATAAGTGGTTGGGGGATGCTCCATTGAAACTAGTGTTTCCTTTGATTTTCCAAAGAATGGCTAACCCTAATGTTGTAGTCTCTAATCTCTATGAGCGTAGGGGTGATCATATTCTTTGGAATATCAACCTTCCTTATAATAGGATTCATGATTCTCTCTTTTTTGAACTCTTTGGATGAGGTTAATATCCCTCATAATGTTGAGGATGAGGCTGTTTGGGAGATCGTTAAGGATGGAGATTATTCGGTGAAGTCTATGTACCAGCTGCTCTTCCACAATAGGTGGCGGTGGTCTAGGCCTGCATTTGTCATCGTTTGGAGGTGGCCTTTACCTCTTAAGGTGCAAGGTTTTTTATTGATGGCTGTTCAAAATAAGGTGCTGACGGTAAATAATCTTATCAAGAGAGGAAAAATATTGCCAAATGTATTTCTTCTGTGTGAGGATGGGGAATCTGAAGATCATCTTTTTTTGCACTGTTCTTTTACCTATTATATTTGGAGTAGGTTCTTTGACCTGCTTGGGATTGCGATGGTAATGCCACCAAGTATTGTAGGTATTTTACAAACTTTAGCGATAGACTTACCTCGAACTGGAGTTATTATTTGGCAAATCACTAGAAGCGTAATTTTATGGGAAAACTGAAAAGAGAGGAATAGAAGAGTGTTTGACGGGATTAGCTTGCCTTTTGAGATAATATGGGAGAAGATTTTACATGCTATATTATTATATCTGTCAATTACCAAAGTTGGCCAAGATATTCGGATTTGGATGTTAGGAGAAATTTAAAGACTTTGTTTCAGCTGGGTTTTGAATTGCAGATCGAAAGGAAGATGGGTGACCCAGGTCTTTGGGGTATTCAAGATAAACTTTGATGGCAGTTCGTTAGGAAATCCGGGTCCTGCGGGATTTGGTGGTGTGCTTAGGGATTGGCTGGGGAATGTTATCTTTTCTTATGCTAGTCATCTTGGGGTGCGTACTGCTAATTATGTTGAACTATATGCACTTTTATATGGCTTAAGTATCTTTGTGGCAAGAAACTTGGGGCATTACTGCGTCCTAGAAGGTGATTCCATGAACGTCATCAAATGGTGTAAAGGGGTGCAGAAGTTGCCTTGGGAGTTCAAATATCTGCTTCTTCAAATCTTTTACCTCTCTAGTCCCTTTTCCTTTTCTTTTGAACATGTCTATAGGGAAGCGAATGTTATGGCTAATTCTCTTGCTAAAGGGGGTTCTCTCCTCACTGAGACTCTTGTCTCTGACTCTGTAATTTCATTTTAGTTTAATAGAATAGTGGAATTTCGATAAAAAAAAAAAGGATTGTGAAAAAATTAATACTTTATTGGAAAACTTATTTCACCACATCATTAATTTTAAGATGCCTTTATCACTACTTTGATGCGATTTTATTTAAGCACAATGTAAGACCAAATGTCAAATGCTTAATATTTTATTAAGAAAAACAATATTGCTAGGTCAAACAATACTTTGTTACCTTTCTAATTTGAGGCAAGAAATAGGCACTATTGCAAGTCGGTTTTATCACAACATGTAACCTATTGCCTCGTGTTGTGGTAAATATTATATTAAATTTAATAAATTTTGGTGAGAAACAGGCACTATTGCAAGTTGTGTTGCACGCCATGTGACCTATTGCCTCGTGTCGTGGTAAAATACTATATATTAAATCTAAAAAGAATGCCTTTGGGGGGATTTGAACCTTGTTATGAGTTCTACCACTGCTCCATCAACTTGGAAAGTGACATAATTAAAAATCATATTATATCTACATGGATGTCTTAATAAAAAACAAATACACGGATGTGTCCTAATAATATCAATATCAAGGGCAATGATTTTATATAATGGTTGTAGAGTAATATGATATATAGCCATTTGTTTGATCCAAATTTTGAAATACGTTTTATTTAAATGAACAATAATAAATAATAAATAAATAAATAATTGAAAACACAACTCATAAAGTATTTTTTTAGCCCAATAAAAATTAGTCGTTCATTTTGGTGAGATGTTTAGATCTAGGCCTTAGAAGGATTTTTTCATTTCTAATTTTTTTGGATGGCTTTATTATCATTAGATGAACAATGTGAAAAAAGAAAAAAAATGATTTTGAGTTTATAAAGGCTAAGATCTTGAAATTCACTAAATTAATAATTTAGATTCGTTTTTGGAGGGACTCATTTTGACCATATCTAGGTTTGAAATTGAATGTTTTTTTTTTTATTCATTATTGAGATGAAGAGAGTGTGTATGCAAAATTTTGTGTCATACAAATACCACAAACATGATTTTCTAGAAGAGTCATGAGATAATATTGTGATACAACCAATACATGAAACCACTGCCCTAATATCAATATTTATTTCTCAACCCTTAAGACACCCAACAACTATATCGGTGTTCTTATAAAAGTCCTACAAAGGAAATACTGAGAAAGGATCCCAAGCGTCAAACCATAAAGGGATAATTATTGGTCCCGTAGCAAACACAAGAAGAGAGCGCGCTCTTATTGAGAAAGCTTGTTGATCTTACGATGCTGGAAGTCCTTGAAGGTTTTAGTTGAAAACAATGGTGGATTAGTCTCGTTTAGGAGGTGGGGAAGAGGCCCAATGATTTTGTCCGGTGGAGGCACGAAAAACACTGCCCATGACATACGTGTTTCGTCCTTGCTCACCAAGCTCCTGTGGAGAACGCTTTTGTATCTTCCATTGCTCAACACCTTCAACACAAATCGAGCAAACTTGAATGAATGGATCTTCCTTTGGGAGTTCTAACTATGTCCATAAGGTTACTGATTGATGGGAAGAAATTTGCTGGAAAACTATGCTGCATGTCGAGAACTCTTTTTATTTTTATTTTTTATTTTAATATTATCTGCTATTAGAAAAACGAAGAAAGAAAAAAAAAATTGACGACAGTTGCCATTATTGATCCTTGGCCTACAATTGTAGACACTTAGGTATCAATCAAGGGGCGAGCTTAGAAGCCACAACTTCATTTATTCCAGCATAGCGCTTCATGAACTTAAGAAATGTATATAGCGCTTCATGAACTTAAGAAATGTATATAATGAGACCATCTACTTTTGGTATAAGAAAGTCCTATTTATTAGGAAAATATATAATGAGATTATTTACTCAAAAAAAAAAAAGTTATAATGACATAGTCACAATTAATTTTGACCATTGGATGTGAAATTGAGTGGCTGCATTTATTTCATTAACCAAGCTCAATGTTCAAAAGAAATTTTCACGGACTTTGTGATACACCCAAATTATCAAATTTCACATTGGATGGTTGTAAGTAATTGTGATCTCCATATCTTAAAGACAAATTGTCTCATTGTATACCATCCGTATTTATTATTGCCTATTAAATGTGAAATCAATTGTTGGGGATGTGTCAACTTCACACAAACTGTAAAATAAAATTGCTCGAATGTTGTTTCCCATTTCAATCTGTCTGATTTCATATTCCAATGCCCAATATTGTAAATACCAAAAGTGAATAGTCTTACAATACACTATCCCTTAAGAAAATGGACTGCCCTTCCAATATAAGCTTTGCTTGGGCCTAATAACGATGTTCCGCTTCTACTTTAACATAGTTTAATTGATGATGCACAAAGGGAGCTACACTTCTCCCAAACATGGTTTAGTTGATGGAGGCCGAATTTTGAAGTCAAGTTTCAAGATATTTCGTCCTTTGGGCATTCCTTTAAAAATTGTTTCATGAGTCGTGGGACACATTTCTATATTTGTGGCCCCAAGGTTTAAAACATTCACTTTAAAGATGGATCTAAATGGGCGGTCCATCTACAAATAGTTGAAACCAATGGTACAAATGTTTTCTTCATAAAAGCATTATTTTAAATTTTTAAAATTTTGAGTTTCGAAGTTAAATAGTTCATGAAAGCTTTAACAGTTGGTTTAAATGCAAGCAATTGCAACCCCAACAAAGAGACTTAACTAGTCGACGTGGAAATATTGTAATTGAGGCACGCATTGAAAGCATTAAAGTTCTTGAAAAAAATTGGACGTGGAATTATTATAATTGAGTCAGGCACTGACAGCATTAAAATTCTTGAGAAAAATGGGGTGTCATACCCTTACATTAATTTTATTTTGGTGGATTACTTGCTACTTATGATTACTTTGATTTTGTTAAGGACACGGTTTCTATTACTCTTGTAGAAATGAGTGCCCTCTTAAAAAATCTATTTTTGAAATGGATTTTTGGACCCAATTGTTAAGGACATATAATCTCTAACAAAACTGTAAAACCGGTATAATACATCTTACATATATGTATTTTTATGGGAAATGTTTTTATATGGCCAGGATTTTATAATAAAAAACGTAAAGTCACACCTCAAAACCACGGCGAAAATTACACTTTAACACAAAATAAAACCTCTGGGATATGAAGAAAAGAAATAAATTTCAAGCCCCATAAATATTAAATCTTGTGGCACATTACCTGGATTTGCTCATTTGCAAGTGTGTGCTATACTATATTTGAAGGTTAAAGTTTCAAAATCAGATAAAGTAAATCCAAGGCCGTCATGAGGTTCTGGTGCCCGAATTGCCATTTTACGATAGGTGTGGCTGTATTTTTTTTTACTGTGAAGCCTTCGCCTCGTGCTACACACACCCATTACATAAACCGGGGTTCATTAAACTCACACGTAACCGCAACCATCACATAAAACACTGTTCATAAACTAACCTCGAGCCAGGTACTTGGTCTTGGCCCAAGGCGACTTAGGACTCACTCAAGAACCGTACGAGTCCAAAAGCTCTAAAAAATTTTAAATTATACCAAAAAATGGAAAAATATAGAAAAATACAACAAAGGTCTAAAAGTTAAGTAAAACCAAATGCAACAAAGGTCTGAAAATGTAGAATTAAATATGCACTTAAAAAATCCATTGGATAGGATTGTTTTTAGGTCGAAAAACCCTATAATTGATCATCTCGACATTGAGACGTATGAATATGGAAAAAAAAATTATAATATTTTGAGTCCAAAAAATAGTGCATCTTGCAGCACATTATCTAGACCGTCCGTTTTCAAGATTTTCATATGTTTATAGATATATGATTTCAACCATTTTTAGAATTTAAAATATACTAATTAGATATAAAAATAGATTTTCAGATAATCTTAAGAATATTTTACACCAAAATTATTTATTATGATCAAATTTGGAGGTGCGCCTTGTTTGGATTGTTTAAGGTTGCAACCTTATAGAAACCGCACCCTTTAAAAAAATCATTTATCATTGGGAACATTTTAAAAAATCCAAACACAGAAAATTTAAAAATACATAATATCATAAAAAAACGTTAGCCCATAATTAAAAAAAAATCCAAATTATATATAGAAAAATTATACAACAATCCGGTCTTTCCTACTTATTTTTAGAATTTTTTCAAAAACTATTTTTATGGACCCTGAGTTGTACACTTAACTCGGGGCAACTTGGCTGTTTTATAACACTAACATATAAACTATAAAATAGTCATGCATATAAAATTTGCTCTCTTACTCACACCCATAAATAGGGTTGGCAATGGCCCAGCCGACCCAATATCTAGAGAGAGCTTTCTGGGGAGAGAAATAATTTCCACTTCGAGAGAGATTAATATAATTATTTGTTTGGTGTAAAGAGAAGACTCATATTATTGTATTTATTTAGAGACATAGGGATACAAGTAGGGTTGGTTTTGTGCAATGAGAGTAGGCAATGCACTAAAAGAGAGTATAGCAGGATTGTATGCGTGGAGAGAGCGAGAGTAGTAGATTGAATGTATGAACAAAGAGAGTAAAAGGGCATACGCTTTGGGGAAAGAGAGTAGGATTTGTGCAAACAGCGAGCAGTAGGATTCATTAAGGAGAAGGAGATAAAGGGAAACCTTTGGGAGAAGACAAACAATTTGTGTTTGTGACGAAGCGCTTTGGGGGAAGAAAAATGGCGTCTGGGTATGTAACTATAGTACTAGCATGGTTTTGATGCTCGGCCGAGGCCACTCGGACTCGGTCGAGTAACTCGTCCTCCCTCCAAGTTAAAGCGAGTTGGTTGTACAACTTTATAAACTATATTTATATTTGGGCAAGCTTTCTATGCTTTCCCTACAACATAAAACTTATATACACTTATCCAACCGTTTATTCTGAATGGAGGGTTAAGATTGCCTCAATCACAATGTCACCTTTCAACATTTTTTTATTTTAAAACTTTTTTTATAAACGATTTTGAATTTTGTACATCCAATAGTCTATTAACCTCGCTCTAACGAAAAATATAAAAAAATATTTCCAATAAAATAAAATGACAAAAATACCCTTGAAATTTTCAAGGGCTATTTTGATCACTATATTTTACCGAAAAATTATTTTTAATATTTTTTATAGGTACCCCGAATGAGAAGATGGCACATACCAAATTTTTAGGGAATGGTTTCTATACTACCCCTACAACATAGAAGATCTATGCTTCTCCTACCATCCAGCCGTCCAATTTTGAGCAAGAGAGCCACTCACCGTTTGATCTTAGTTCCGATGTCTCAAGGTATTTTATTTTAATTTTTTTTTGTAGAAATTGTATGAATATGAAATTTGGTATGTGCTATCTTCTCATTTGGGCGCACTTATCAAAAATATTAAAATTAATTTTTCGATAAAATATAATGACCAAAATGCCTCTTGAAGCTTTCAAGGGTATTTTGGTCATTTTATTTTATTGAAAATATTGTTTTTATATTTTTTGGTAGTGAAAGTTAATAGGGGATTAGACGACCAAAATTTGATTCCAAAATAGTTTGTAGAAAAAAATTCAAAATAAAATAGTGTAGAGACGTGACATTGTGACTGGGGCAATCATAGCCATCCATTCAGAATGGACGGTTGGATAAGGAGAAATATAAAAGTTTTATGCTGTAAAGAAAACGTAGAAAGCTTGACCTTATATTTATATGTCACATTTAAGTTACATAAGTTGTCAAGTCTCTCTGGTTATTGTTTGCACGTAAGAGTTTGTAGATTTTGTATAGTGAGTTGGTTGTAAAACAGCTTTATAAATTATATTTATATGTCACATTTAAGCCCCATAAGTTGTTCTCATGGAAGAGTTTGCTAGTTGTACAACAACTTTATAAACAGTATTTATAGTTATATTTGTATGTCGTCTGGTTACTACTTTTGCGTTTTATAAACACTTGCCTTTTTTTTATTCAAAGGAGCTTTAAAAACATTATTAGGACATGCGGAATTGAACCTAAAAACCCTCCATTATGGAGGCCGCCAATGTCCCGAAAAATAACCAACACATCATTAGTATTTAATATTAATAAACTTCATACGAAACATACATATTATGTTTTTTTCTTTATTTTAGTTTTTTAAAAAATGCACTGGACTCGGGTGAGTTATTCAGACTCACCCGAGTAAATAGTCTCGGCCAGGGCCCAAATATATTGGCCGAGTCGATTTTTTGAACACTGAGTAGTAGGATTGGCTTTTCCAATAGTGACACTAGTATCAATTGACTTTATTTAGAGAGAGAAACTATTAGGATCAACTTTGTGGGTAGAGAGAGAGAAAAATGGGGATCACGTTGTAAAAAGAAAGAAAGAAAGAAATAGAATGAGAGAGCCGGTTTGTCGTTACGGAGAGAGTCAGAGTTTGGGTTTTACTAGAGAGGGAGAATGAATGTAG